AATAGAATTTCCGATGCTGGAGCTCACAAATTATCTACAAAACGAAAGTATGTTTCGATGTCCATCAAACAAAAAGTAGAATTGCTGCAAAAAATGGATAAAGACATGAAAAAGGTGACAGACAGGTTAGTGAAAACGAAAAAATTTCGATTGACAAGTTAGTCGGTATTCTCGGCACAGCAATTACGAGACTTGAACAGCGGAACTTTGTAACTGAAAAAGAAATTATGTCTGTTTATAGAATTAAAGAGAAAGTATTATCACATAAAACAAAGCAACTTAAACAACTTACATTAAAAGAAATGTTTTATAAAGTAAACAAATAAATATTAAGCTTTTTTTTTTTTTTTTTTTTTTTTTTTTTGTAAATTTTGATACCCTTTAGATCATAATTGTTCTTTATTTCATAAATTACGGTTTCATATTTTTAATTTTAGAATTTCTGCATGCCATCTTACGAGATTTAAACTGATGATCTATAATCCGGAATCGCCGAAGTCCCGACGAGTCCGGATTAACGACTTTTGACTGTATCTTGCTTTCTAGCAATAAATGTTTTATCAGTTTTTAAGGTTCTTTCACGAGACTAATTCATTAAGAGCGTTTAATACCCCTTTCTCATGTCGATTTTTAATAACAGATGGCGCTACGAACGTTGCGATAATGACTCAAATCTGTAAGACTACCTACAGCCTGGTTACTATGGCAACGACGCTTCCTTCCTCTGTACTCATTTGGCGGGAAAGTGAGTAAGCCATAAAACACATCCCCTCAGTTGAACAAAAGACCTGCTGTCATTTCTTCCGTCTGTGACTCAGACTGCAGGGTATGTTTTGAACAGGAATAGAACTTTTCCACCTTTGTGTTGAATGAAAGATATCTGTGAGATACGTGCAGCAGTCGCTATTTCTTTTCGCAAAATTTGTTCATCACGCTTTTCAATGTTGCGTAATGTTTTCATAATTTGCCGTTATTTGTGGAAGAAAACCAGTTTTTAAAAAACTAGATTTTTAAGCATTTCGGTAATCGCGACATAAAAATTATATATAAATGATTTTATACTTGATGATATGTGTATACATATATAGCACGCACATAATATTCCATTTACTCATCCATCCATAATATTTCATAAATTACCATCCATAATATTCCATAAATATGTGTTAGCACTTTCCAGAGCTTTATATATATTTTTTACTTGTATTATAAAATCGTATAACACTCTTAACTATTATTTTTTTACTTCAAAAGTGGATAAGTCATTATCAAATTTTTCTAGTACACGGAGAAATGGTCTATGTATCCACACACATAAACGTAGTAAAAGATACTATTGTTGATTGAATATCTTTTGGCAGCAATATCAAGATGCAACGAAAATTCGAAATCAATTAATAACATGCATTTTATTACAAAAACACTAGCAGGACGTATTATTTGCACAAAAAACTTAGTGTGGAAATAATTTGCGGTACATTATTTGAGATCCGCTTTGAATGAATACATAAAGTGTTATAATGAACAATCAGTTTTAATTTTTCACTTGATACTGAAATGCATAAAATCAAATTGCGTTTCTATGTTTCAGGTTTATAAAATACATCTGATAATTGAAGGGGTATCAGGTTTATAAAGTACAAGCTGATAATACATGATAAGGGAGAAGAAATTCCTAAATTACAAAATTGAATATATATATTTTAATAAAGTAAAATGATACATATTATAGATACATCCTAAAAAAACGATAATATATATATATATATATTGTATATCGTTGTATACCGTATATATATATTATGTATTTATATATGTATATCTACTCTTTTCCGGATGTAACTGTAATTACGTACTGTGCTGGTTTATCATCTTCCTGTAGCGATGCATTTGGATTTGCTGTGTATGAATCTGTTTCATTGAACAGAAACAAATAGGAAACAGAATATTGAAAATTGAATTTTTTTTTACAGCATTAGTAATTTATATATATTAGATTGACTAAAAAGAGTATATTCATGCATAACGTATAAATATGCGAAGTGAATACTTTTTGGCAATCACCTTTCTAGGATGATCATTTTTAAAAATAACCAGTACTGTTTGAAAACAGCGGTACGATCTATCTGCCTAAGGGAAAGGATGCCTTCGTGGAAGACTTTCTAAGGGAAATTGGCTCCTAGACACGTTACACAGGGTAAAACCACGAAAGCGCAACCAGTCCCTTCGCGGGATTCGAAACTCGGACCGAAATACTGGTGTTCAGCTAATTTACCGCTTCGTGCCTCATTTCAGAGCGGATTCGCTATATATGAAACAGAGTAATGTGCTGTTACCGTATTTAGCAGCCTGCCTTTTTCCTTGACCTACCATAAAAAAATAAAATAGCAAAATTATAACAGCGTCTCTAAAAAGATGCTTTGCTATATTCTCATTAAATCTTTATCATTCTGCGCTACTAAAAACGAAGTACGATTATTTCAAATTCAAAATTTTATAACATTACTTTACAGAAAGCGATCTCATGTCTTCTAAAAATAAAACCCAACATATCTGTTTCTACTCAAGCGCTTACTTTTCTAGACAAAGTAATTTCAGTGTAACGTACGTTCAGTTTTATCTAACTTTGAACGGAAAAAAAAAAAAAAAAAAACTATGTACATAACAGGCAAAGATATTAACAGCACATAAATTTACTCAATTATATTGGATTACCAGGAGGAAAAAATGCTCCGATGAGATAATTCTCTGAGAATTCATAAACGCTAAATTAAGAATAAATTTTATAAAATGTTTACTAATGAATACATGTATTTGCATAGTTAAGTTTCCTTTTTTAAAAAAAAATTCCGTCTTTCATATTATATCACGTTTATCGGAAGTGTCTCATTTGACTTCACAATTATGCTCTGAAATTTCATTGCTGTAGATTGGATGATTACCAATATATAGTCCTACTAGTAACCAAAGCCAGTATTAGAGGTTTTTGCTGCTCACTACAATATCTGTGGCTCTTACTTCTGCCACGCGCCGCCAGTGGCTGAGTGGTTAAGAATATTGATTACTGGAAGTTCGACCTGGTTTCGGTTCGATCCCAGGCGAACCAGCTGGCTGCATGGTTTGTTTTCCTGTTGTGCAACATGAATACGACCCAGTTTCCTTGAGCAATTAGGCTCACCCGCGGCCGAGCGGTTAAATCGCTGAACACTGGTAGTTCCGACCTGGGTTCGAATCAAGGCGAATGGGCTGGCTACATGGGCGTTTTCATAATCTTCCTCGTATGTAACGTGTATGGGGAGCTTTGCTATAAACTAAACTAAGCCTTGAGAAACTTCCTCCAGGAAAGCATCTGCTATCTGCCACCTCGTGGCTTTGCTATATTCAAAGAGACTAACCCAATTCTAGCAGGACACAGAAATTCATCATTAAGGTTCTCCTGAAGAGGCTCAGACTCCAAGCTAAAATATATATATATATATATATACTATATATAATTAATATATATACATATATATAATTAATATAATAAATATAAATTAGGTTTAAATTTGGCTTATTTGATGACAGCAAAGCACTTGATCTTCCTAAGAGGAGGGATGCTTTCATGGAGGACTTTCTAAGGGAAATGGCTCATATACACGGGGAAAACCATGAAAACGCCCATGCAGGCAGCCCATTCACAATTAGGTTTAGGAAATTTAGGCAACAGATAGCAAATAAATTAACAATAATAATACACTGGTATATTACCAGTATATTACTACAAGAAGATAAGTCATCTTCACAACTGCTGCTTCCATGCTCGCAGTGTCATTTGCTTGTGCAATATTAGTCAGTACTTTGTGTGCCGGAGGTTTCACATGAAGGGCCTCTACACCTGAGTATAAAATGTTCGTGTTCCAGTAAACACTGAATTCAGAGGGGCAAGAATAACTCTTTCATGGTGGATAACTCAGTTACCAAATGGCTTTCTAAGGCTCTATTCAAGCCGTTGTATAAATGTCATAATTCCCAACTAACAACGCTTTGTAGTCAGACCTTGCTATGTCACAAAAACTAGTTTGGGCATTAAGCTTGAAGTTTTCAACTTTGTGCCGACTTGATATAAGAGTCGGCCAATCAGAGCATATACATAAAACCTATTGAGAGAGAAAGCTGTAGACAAATACATGCATGCACAAATTTAGCTTCTCTAATTGGCTATGGCTTAGCCCTGTCTCGCAGGTGTGAATGGAACTCCCACATTTTGTGCCTTATGATTATGCGTCTATGACATTTATACCATCATGTGAACGGAGCCTTAGGATGGCATACTAAGAAGATGCACTGTCTTGTGGGGATAAGCAATTTATACTCCTAAGCCTAAAAAAAAAAACTTGGAAAAAAAAGATCACGACTTAAATTTGTTGTCTAATTGCTCTAATTTGAGGCACATTACGAGAGGAAAGCAAAGGTAGTAATCAGAATTATTTAAAAAATTTTATCCTTATATTTTTCTTAAAAATTCTGTAAAATAATAAATTTTTGGTTTTCCTCAAATAAATATATATGGAAAAAATAATAGCCACATAAATCACAGATTTCATTTGTTATATTTTATTAACAAAATTTAAATTATTAAAATCTCTTCATGAAGGGAACATAAACATCATGAAAACAATGAAAAAGAAGCAATATTTAAAAAAGATAGTAGGCTTATTGATGAGGCTCCCATCAAAAGAATCAAACCCCAAAATATTTTCATTTGCTTCAGTGTCCCGTCTGAAAATTTCACCGATTTCAATGAATATATTTTTTAAAAAATCTTTTATTTTCAAGTTCTTTCATGCAAAACGTCCAAATTTGGTACAAATCAAATTCATCCCCCTCTTTTTGATAACTACAATATTATATTTAACAGTTTTAATAGCTATCAGTATGTAAACAACATAATGTAACACCATAAAAGAAAAACATAAATGATGACATTTTAATTTTGGCATAGAGAAATACATATTTACCCCAAAAGAGAGCTTGTATTTCTACGTCAGAGTCAATAACTGAAATGTCCAGATCAGAACTGAGAAGAAAAGAACCATAATTAGTTTAATTAAGATACAATAACACACCGACCAAGTATTAATTTGAGAGTCAAGCAACAAAATCAGCATCATATTTTGAAATATTCCACTATTTGAAAATATAACGCTGATTTTGGTTGCTTGACTTCTAAATTAATACATAATTAGTTAACCATAATTAAGTAACTGTAAGAGTTTCAATATCATGCACAGCTAATATCTATTTTAAAAATAAACTAACTTACCTCAGGAAAGCCTGGTTTGTCTTAGGAACATTAGCTGTAACTTCTGGCGTAGAAAAGTCAAATTTTTCACTTCCGGACCTAAGAATGAAAGAAATAAACTGCTATAACATAATAATAATAATAATAATAATAATAATAAAAAAACATGAATAAATAAATAACACATAACAAATTTAAGCATTAAGCTATGTATGACTACCACCCATCTCAGACAGTGCGACAGATATTGCTGTATACTGTTTCGCCATACCCTGTGTAGCTATTATATCATGCTGTATAACCACAGTTTAGAAAAATTACAAAATGTGTTATTTATATCTATCTAAAATGGTACATTACATACATGATTTGTAAGAATAAATTAGAGGGCTCTGCGAAGTGAAATTCCTTCCAATTAAAAAATGTAGGAATAAAGAGAAATGCGCAGGAATTGCAAATGCAGAAATGCAAAAGGGATTATATTTTTTGCACGGAATCTAGATGACATATTTTTCAACATTTTAGAAATTTCAATTAATTTTACGGGCCATAAAATATTAGGCCCCTAAAAGCAGAATATAGTTTTTAAATGTTCAGATAATCTTCCTATGAGAAGAATTCCTTTGAGAAGTATACATCTGAACCACAATTAAAAAACATGTACAAGAACCAGAGCTGAGGACTTCTGTTTGCAGAAAGTCTGTCACATAACATATGAAAAGTTTCTTATTGGTAGATTTTTGATCAGACAGATATTTTATTGTTATACAGAGAAAGCATTCACTCCCTTTATACTGGAGATAATTCAATTTGGACAATGGCAAAAAGGCTAAGCAAGCCTGAGCGTATTGGTCCCATTCTTGGCACTAGTTTGGTTTACGCTCAAATACACGGCAGATATTTCTAATTACCTGCATCCCAATATCAATTCAATTCAGCTTTTGGTGGAATTTACCATTTGTGACATATTTTTCAAAAACTACACTTCACAACATGCATACATGACAAATACACAGAACCATAAATAAACAAGCAATAATATATTTATATATAAATTTTACTAAATGATCATAAAATGTTCCAACGCTAAAAGAAAGTTTTAACATCCAAGTAAATGACATAATAAAAAAAAAGCAAGTTGAACAGCGAGCACATGAATAAATGTGCATACACCTGTAAAAATATACCATAGGTAACTGACAAAGCATTTCGTAGCAAAACATATGACTATAAAATTTACAATAATACATGTAATGATGGTGAATTCATTCATTTAAATCGCAAGAACGTGCTCATACTTTTGAAAAGATTCAATTATTTCAGCAATTCCTTGTGAATTGGAATTTACCCTTTCAATATTCCCAACAATTTAGTGTGAATGGAGGAATAAATTGTTATAACAGAATTGAACAATTATTAGCATCCCCTCATACACACACATACAAAAAAAAAAAAAAAAAAAAAAAAACTTACTTGTAAAAAATCATCCGGGCAATGATTCTCCTTTGACACAGATGCAGTTGTATCAATAATTTCTGACCTTCAATAAAAAAAATACGCATATTTTACTTCGGAATTAACTTACTACGAAATCATAAACACGGGGTAGTCGATATAAAGAATAAATTATTTCTCACCTTTCGAAAACATCCGCTTGTTCGGAATCTTCACATCTCGGGAATTTAATTTCATATTTTTTTCTTGAGCTCGACGTTTACGCTGAATTCTGGATCTTTTTTATTAAAACCAGGATGTTTTTTTCGGTCGTCCTTGATATTTTCGCGTTTTTTGCAAACTGACCACAGTAGTAGAAATAAATGTAACAAAACGAGTGCGGAATAGCAATGCAATAGGGTTGCCGTAAACGTCATTCTGCTGACAGCTGACAATGTTTAGTGAAAACTGTGTATATAAAGGAATATATGAAACGCTTCTAAATATTATTTAGAAAAAAAATATGATTTATAACTGATATCAAAATCAATTACTTCGTGAATTTTTGCAGAAAATAAGATTACAATGTTAAATTTTAACTCGTAGCGCCATCTATCGATGGCTTTCCAAACTACACATTAAAATTACGTATTTCAAACTAATTTTTTTAAAATATAATATTTAAGTAAATTTCATTTCAAACCTGATTCTAACATTGTGATTCGAAAACTGACCTATTGCTTTATATTTCTGCCAAATTTCACGCAACATAGTTTCTTAATTAGCGATTCTGCGTGTAAAAAAATTTTTAGTATTGTAATGCTGTAGTAGACCACCTTAAGCAGAAGTTAGTAAGAACAAGTAAGGTATACTTCAAATTTGATATCTTAGGTTTATTAGGTATGGTAGGTACTACCAAATGAATGTTTCTGAATTCAACATCAAATTTTAAACATAATTTTCTTTTAATTTGTTTCTTAACTTTTATTTTCAAAAAATATGCACGTAATCTGAAGTTTTATATAATGAAAGTTAGTATAAGAGAAGTGTGACAAATTAAATTATTTGTACATTCGGTCACTATTAAAAACTAATTCTGTTTAGACTATGGGTCCTCAATCAGGAGGAATAGCTCTAAGGGAAATTTCACAGTTTCAGAGAGTAATTTAGTTAACCTTTTCTTTATGTATTAAGTATTTAGATTATGAATATAAAAAAGCATTTTTATTCAAATTTTGGTATTTAACAACATGTTTTATACTTGTTTAATTTACATTACAAATAATCCATATTTAAACAAACGCATATGTACTTTTCAAGTTTTGGGAAGGAGAAGTTGAATGATATTTTAGCAATGGTGAAAAGGGCACATGAGGGAAAAACTGTTGAGAATCACTGGTCTAGACTGAACCAACTTGAATTAAATATAGAATTTTATACTAATGATCTTTAATTCTTACTGTAGAGTTATTAGGTTTCATTTTTTTTTTTTTTTTTTTTTTTTTTTTTTTTTTTATGCGGGAGACATGAAAAATAAGCAATGCCCTCTTTGAGACTAGAGCCTGGATCTCTCGAATATGAGCCAATTGTACTAACTGTTACACGACGAAGGCATTCTGGAAGGAGGGAGAAAATACCTTATATACTCAACCTTTTAAAGACGACTAGGGGACCTAGTCGTCAAATCTTGGTGGAGAAGAATCATCATCCACCACCTTTTTTTTAGTTCAGCCGTCATGCTGGAGACGTGAAACATGAGCAATGCGCTCGCCGGGACCCTAACTTGAACCTCTCGAATACACGCCGAGTGTGTTAACCGTTGCACCACGAAAGCATGCTGGAAGGAGGGAGAAAATACTATCCTGTTATGTATTATTTCAGCCTGTACTGTCAATTCTACTTTCCGCTTTCTCACCCGAATGTAAATTAGTAAGTAAACATGTTTAGGATGCAAATGAGTTAAGAGTATTTAAGGCGAAGTTTTTGCGATTGAAAGGGAATGCGAGAATTGGCTTCTGCTGTCAGGGTTTATCCATTTGCGGCCGTTGCATTAAGTGCGCCAATAAGTTAATTGTCTGAGAAAGCCGGTTAGGCTAATCTTGAATTACTCTATTTTATTTATTACCTTGAAATGTTAAGTTTATTAGTCATGCTGATACTTTAGCAACTCAATATTTTGTCTACTGAGTTGTTAAAATATGAACACAACAATTTAAGTATTGTTATACTGATACTTTAGCAACTCATTCGTCAATACTTAGTAGCTAAAGTTTCAGCACATCTATACAAAAATATTTAAATGTAAGCAGTAAGCATAAATATGCTGAATGAAATAAGCTTTGTAAACAATTTTATAGTGCTAACTTAATTTTTGATAGTAAACACTGATGTAAACAGATCATGTTTGCAAACATGCCCTAAAAGAACATCATCTACATCACTCCTTCATCATGCCTTTATGTACTGCAATATGTAATGTCCTGACACATGATGCCTGTACCCATTACAATAAATAACGTCATAAAACATGCACCTGTACAACTATGTACCGCTATATATATATCATGTAATTTAATGCCCGGCGGTGTCAGAACTTGCAGTGTTGGCTGGAGTCACAATTTCATCATGATTCGAAGATGCCGGAAGGTTATTGCTTTTCTAGTCGGTGTGTAGAGCTAACGTTTACTTACTTCACGTAAATATTAGGTGGCCCCTGTGTTGTATTTTATATGTGTTGGGTACGTGCTCAGTGATGATTACAAGATGTACACAAACATCGTTTATTCTACATTACTCATCTACTGTACAGTTATGGTTAAAGATAATAATAGATACAGTTGCAGTTACATATATAACATCTTCCTTTTTTATAAAAAACAATAATAGTAGTAAAATTAAACATATTCTTTTAAATAATAAGGTTTCTTAACAGTCCTACCAGATCGAGTGACGTAGTTATGTCCATTTGAAAAATTTGATGATACTATATCCTCTTTCACTATTTGGTGACACAACACTTCTGTTAGATTTTGAAGGACTTACAGGCACATCTAAATTTGTAGTGCTCCTACTATTTTCATGTATCTCGGGTTCATCTATAACTTCATTCTCATAGTTGTTTTGTGTTGCAAACTCTTCCTGATTAGTTCCTTTAAGAAGGTCTCTTCTGTTCCTTTCTACAATTCTTCCATCTGTTCTTATGATCCTATATGAACGTGGTCTTTCTGCTTCTTCTATAATTTTCCCTCTTTCATTTAATTTTTTCCCTTTCTCTTTTATGTAAACATGATCTCCTGTTTTCAGTCGCTTTAATTGTCTTGCATTCCTATCATAATAACTTTTTTGTAAGGTTTGTCTCTTCAGTAAGTGTTGTTTATGGTCTTCATATCGTTTAGCTTGGATGAAATTCTCTTTTATAGGCATCAATCCATTTACTTTTCTTCCAAACATCAATTCAGAAGGTGACTTAATTTTATCTGAAATAGGAGAGTTACGATATTCCAGTAAAACTAAATATGGATCCTTGTTGTCAGCTACAGCATTTTCTAACATTCGCTTGACAGTTTGAATATGTCTTTCAACCATTCCATTAGACTGTGGGTATTTTGGACTTGAAGTTCTGGTTTCAAAATTCCATCTTCTTGCAAAATCTTTATATTTCCTGCAATTATATTGTGGACCATTATCCGAATATACTATTTTCGGAATACCATGTCTTGCAAAAATTGATTTCAATTGCTTTATCACTGCTACACTTGACAAATCTTCCAAATGTCCAATTTCAACATATTTGCTAAAATAATCTATAACTATTAGATAATCCCTTCCTTGAAAGAGGTCTGTTCCCAATACTTCCCATGGACCATTAGGTATTTTCTTTAGATATCATTGGTTCTTTAGTATTAGCTTTTTGTAAACTT